TAAGGCAAGGTATTAGAATACTGGTGTAAGCATGCAGAAGTGATTTGTTTCATCTGAAATAACTAACATGAGGGAAAGCATGATGAAAATGCTCTGAAAAGTAGGTCTCAGACATGTACACATACTTGAAAATGCAGTTTTTGTGACCTGGCCAGCAAAAAATCATATTTTCAATGATCATGGCATTGACATGTAATCTGCTGAGAAACTGATTTAATGACAATTAATGTGGTACTAGTCAGGAGGGGTCAAAAATTCAAGTAAAAGCAATTTTGAGTTTCGGTAATTGAAAGTTGAGTGGGAGTCGTGGGGAAATACTGTAAAAGTATATATAAGATGGGTGTGGATGAAGGGAAAGCTGGAGAATCTTTTAAGTCCCTGCATATATAATTACAGCATGTATTGCTGAAATTATATGTAGCATTAACAACCACAGATGAGCCACAGACCATGAAGGACGATAGAATAGTTTCAATGAGGAGCCAGGGAGAAATCCAACAACTCCATATAGGGGAAAAGAGAAACAAATCACAGGCAGACCAAGGAGGGAATGATGCCAAAACAAACAGGTGTCCACATTGGAGATGGTAACCTTTTGGGTCTGAACAAATGCTGAGACAATGAATTCTGGGTGTACTATTTGCCTCATTTGAAAGCACTCTTTCTGTTACCATCCCACAGAGACAAATATAATAGGCCATTTCTTGGTGTTCATATCGCAGTCAAGCCCTCTAAGAATCTTTTGTTTCAAAAAAGTCACCTCTCATTCTTCTAAACTCAAATGAATACAGGCCTAACCTACTCCTCAACCTCTCCACATCAGAAAATGCCTCCATACCCTCGTGAACATTCTCTGGGCTGCCTTCAATACCAGTACATCTTCCTTTAGATAAGGACCAAAACTGTTCACAGTATTCCAGGTCTAATTAGTGTCTTACATATTTTTACCAAAATTTCTCTATTTTTATCTGCCACTCCCTTTGAAAATGAAGGCCAATGTGTTACCTTCTAAATTTATATGCCAACATTTTGTGACTCATGCGCAAGGATGCCCAAATCCCTCGCTGCTGAGTTTTTCTCAACTCCTCCTCTTAAAGTGCACAAGCTTACATTTTCCCCCCAATATATTCCATCTTCCAACTTTTGCCCATTTATTTTACTTGTTTATATGTCCCTTTAGACTCTGTACCATCCTCACTTCTTGCCCTCCCACATGTTTTAGTGTTATCTACAAACGTGGTGACTTTCATTATCCAAGTCATCCATACAAGTTGTATATAATTGTGGTCCCAGCAGTGATCGCTGTAACACTCCACTAGTAACATGTTACCATCCTGAAAATGCCAACATTATCCCAACTCTGTCTTCTACTATTTAGCCAATCCTGTATCCATGCTAATAGACGACCTCCAACACCATGTGCTCTTGTCTTATAAGTAGGCTTATGTATGGATCGTTATAGAATATCTTTTGAAAAATCCAAACATATTACATCTAATGATTCCCCTTTATTTGTCCTATTTGTTTCCTCTTCAAATAATTTTAATAAACTTGTCAGGCATGATTTCCCCTTCATGAAAGCATGCTGACTCCTCTCGTTTTATTATGTATTGTGAAATGCTCTGCTATTCCATCATGGCTAATGGATTATAACATCTTCCCAATGATGGATGTCAAGTTAGATGACCTATAATTACCAACTTTTCTTTTTTCCCTCCCTTTTTGAAAAAGGGTGTAACATTAGCAATTTGCTAATCCTCTGGGGCTTGTCCAGAATCTAAGGATTCTTGTGATATTACTACCAGTGTATTCACTATCTCTGTTGCTACTCCCTTTAATATCATAGGATGCAATCCATCAGATCCAGGAGACTCATCAGTCTTTAGCTCCATTATTTTCTCTCGTCTTTTTTTCTCTGGTGATAGTTATTATATTTTTTCCACCCTCAACCAAACTTTTAGTCTTTGATTATTTATTATTTTGGAATGTTATTCTACAGTGAAGACTAATGTAAAATATTTATTCAACTCTTCTGCCATTTCCTGGTTCATCATTATTATTTCTCCAGTCTCATTCTCGAATGGACCTGTATTCACTTTGACTTCTCTCTGCCTTATTGTATAGTAAAAGAAACTATTACTGTCTATTTTGACATTATTGCCAGTTTACCTCAAAGCTTATTTTCTCCTTCTATTAGTTTTTGAACATCGTCTATCGTCTTTTTTTAAAACGTTCCAAATCCTCAGGCTTATCACTAATTTTACCATATTTCAAATTATTTTTTTCTTTCAATTTGGCACTCCCCTTAACTTCCTTGTATAATCATGGTTGGTTTGTCCTCTTCCTGGAATCCTTCTTTCTCACTGGGATACATTTTGACACCTATTTTTTAAATGTCTGTCTTTTCTGCTAAACTCCTTTCCCAGTCCATTCCAGCCAACGCTGCTTCATTCCTTGGTAATTATTCTGACTTAAGTTTAGCACACTACTTTCAAACATAATCTTCTCACACTCAAACTGAATGCTACATTCTACCATGTTATGGCCATTGTTTCCAACTTGGGGATCATTTATTGTGCACACTTTATTACTCTTACGCAGATCCTATGTAGAGTGATGTCTGGTTATATACACAACATATTGTTCTGGGATAACAGCACAATACTATAACTCTGGAATAAAAGCAGAGAGTGCTTGAGAAACACAGGAGGTCTGGCTTTCAAATTGAAAAAAGCTAGAAAATGTCATTAGCATAATAATAACGAGAGAGGGAAGAGGAACAAGTGGAACAGATGGTGAGCCTGCCCAGAGCAAAAGACAAAGGCAGTGATAACGGCAGTAAAGGGGATATAGGTATCTAAAACAGGCGTTAACGTTAGCTCTGAAAAGTAGAAAATTGGCCTGCTGACAGACCTGAGTTTCTCCACCACTTTCCATTTTTATATTGCTCTTGGAAACCATCCTGACTACACTCCAGTAATTTTTTTTTACCTTGTGGCTACCTCTGCCAACTTGATTTTCCCAAACTACATGAAGATTAACATCACCCATGATCAATGTACTACCTTTTTAAAATGGCATCATTATCTCCTGATTTACTGTCAGCTCAACAGAATAGCCACTGGACCACACCCATTAGTGTCGTCTTCTCCTTGTTATTTTTCTTACCTTCATGTACATATGGATTTTGCACCTTACAATCCAATGTAATTTCTATAGTACTTATTCCATCTCATACCAGAAAAGCTTTTTCAGCTGCATGTTTCCTTTCTGCATGTCCTCTTGCAAAGTCACGCACCCCTGAATATTTATTTCCCAACTGTGATCTCCTTCTAACCACATTACGTGGGAAGTCTTCAATACTCCTGGCACTCAGGATGGAAACATCTGCAGGAAGTGCCACTGGTTTGACTAGATTGAGCATGGTGTTTCAGTCCTTGTGTGTCAGTTGTAGGTGCTGCAGTGCATCCATAAGGCTGGGAGTTACATGGATAGCACATTGTTGGATGCAGTCACTCCGCAGATTAAAGCAAATGTAGTCAGAGAAGGAATGGGTGACCAGCAGTCAGTAGTAGGGAAGCAGAGAGATAGTCAGGAATGCATCTCACTCAACAACAGTTTTCCCAGGTTGGAAAACGCTGAGAATAAAATTTCTGTGGGGAGTGCAGCCGTAGCATGGAAGAAGAAAGGAGAAAGAGAGGAAGAGCAGTGGTGGTAGGAGATTCGACAGTGAGGGATATAGATATATATTTCTGCAGCCATAGATATGACCCCAGGATGGTGTGTTGCCTCCCTGGGGCCAGGGTCAAGGATGTCACTGAACAGCTACAGGGAATTCTGAAGGGGAAGGATGAACAGTCGGATATTGTGGTTCATAATACTACCGACAACGTGGGTAGAAGGAAGGCTAAGGACCTGCAATAAGAATTTAGGGAGCTACGTAGCAGATTGAAAAGCAGGATCTCAAAGACTGTCAATCTATGGATTATTCCCAGTGCGAGTCAGAATAACAATAGACAGACAGATCAGATAAATGCGTGGCTGAACAGTTGGAGCAGGAGGCAGGGTTTTGGAACACTGGATAAAGAACGGAAGAACTGCAGATGCTGTAAATCAGGAACAAAAACAGAAGTTGCTGGAAAAGCTCAGCAGGTCTGGCAGCATCTGTGAAGAAAAAAACCAGAGATAATGTTTCAGGTCCAGTGACCCTTCCTCAGAACTGGGGAAGGGTCACCAGACCGGAAACGTTAACTCTGATGTTTTTGTTTTGGAACACTGAATCTGTTTCTGAGGAAGGTGAGGCCCATACAAGTCCAAGGGTTGCACATGAACCAGAATAGGATCAACATCTTTGTGGTGTGATTTTCTAGTGCTGTTGGTGGGGGGTCATATTAATTAGGCAGGAGGGGTGGATTATGGAGTGGAATAGGGTGACGCGCAAACAAGTACGGGGATAAACCGAGTCAGTCTGGGAGGCATTGTGCACACATAATCAAGTTAAAGGGAGCATGAAAAGGCTGAATGGCATTTATCTAAACTACAGTTTCTTAATAAACTTGAATCAAAACTACCTGAAAATTCCTTACAAATGGTCGGTTGCCTGTCATAGGAGCTTTGGGTAACAAACCTTCAAAATCTAACAGTTTACACTGTAAACCGGGTGAAAAGTTTCTATCCTGCTGGACCTGGTACATATCTTGCATCATGTCTGTATAGGAGAAGTATTGAAGTCACTTCAGGGGAGATGGTTACAAAAGACATTAGAGCTGGTTGCCAACTGACATTCTTGATTAGATTTTGTTAAGTGCTTTGTACAAAAATGTGATCAATGACTAACCAAAGAACACCAGAATTACCTTGGTAGAAAATAAATGTAACTGTATTTTTTTTTAATGGGGGATGACAGTTAAGTAATATTAAGTGTGATGTGAATCACAGATGAAATTTTCCCAGTATCTTTATTAATAAAATCCATGTTCACATTACATGTTTTCACTTACTTTGTGACACTCTGACAAGCTCAGTGACACTGAACACGCCCGATGTGACAAAGCTGTCTTGGAAGCCCAAATGTCCTGTAAAACATGAAAAGTAAAGAAAATTAAGCTTCTCTCCAATAAGAATTTGCAGAGAGGATTTTTGTATTACATAATACTCAGGTGGAAATCTCCAGTTAAAACAAAACACCTGAAATCTGATCGAAGATGCTCCCAGTCTCAATTATCTAAATAACATAAAAAAACCAATTGCAGACTACACCAAAAGGGAGAAAGCAGTCAATAGTGAGACAATAGAAGAGTGAGCTGTATAATAAAAGAATTATGAGGCTCTACACAAAATCATCGATACCACAAAATCTAATCAGAGTTGTAATTCCAACCAGGGATTTTTTTAACAGAAATGTCAAAAATGAATATTTCTCCTTGTCATTCTAGCTCTCCCTCCAACAAAACGTAAAAATTGCTTGGAAGATAGTTGACTATTGACTCATACACTGTGGAGAATTTCCTGTTCAACCAAAATGGCTACTCCATCTCACACACCCACCAATTGCAACCTCAGTAATTACTTACTGCCCACATATACACACACAGTCAAATTTTTACCCAATTAGATAGCTTCTAATCAAAAAGTTTAGAAACGTTTTGCACACCTCTGCAGCAGGTGGGCTTGAACCCGGGCCATCTGCCTCAGAGGTGGGAACACTACCAGTGCCACAAGTGCTTTTCTCACCCACTTACTCTTAATTAACATACAGCCATCACACATTCTCTAGTGCCACTCGTGCCAGACTCTATTATTTAAGAACACTGCACAGTACTCCATGTGTGGTCTGCCTCGTGCCCTGTATAAGTGAAGTAAAGCCTCCCTTCTTTTGTATTCAATTCTTCTTGCAATAAATAGTAATGATTCATTAATTTTACTAATTACTTGCTATGCCTACATACTAATATTTTGAGTGTCATGCACAAGACACCCAGATCCCTCTGCTTCCTCTCACCACATAGAAGATATACCATTTTTTGTTCCTCCCTCCAAGATGGACACCATCACATTTGCCCAGATTATACGCAATTTGTTATTTTTTTGCCTGCACACTAGACTTATCCAAATCCCTTTGTAATCTCCTATTATATCCTTCATGTCTTACTTACCTGCCAAGCTCTATGACATCAACAAATTTAGCAACCATTGTTTGGTTCCTTCAGCAGGTCATTTATCTGAATTATAAAAAAAAATGAGGGGCCAATGCTGACTGTTGTGGCATACCACTCATTACACTCCAGCAGCATAACAAAAAAAGACCCATTTATGCCTGCTCTCAGTTTCCTGTTAAATAGCCAATCTGCTTCCCCAAACCATCAGGTTTAACTTTCAGCAATAACCTTTGATGTAGTTATCAAAACGCCTTCTGGAAATCCAAAGATTGTATACTGTATCTACGAGTTCCTTTTTACCCACAGCATGTTATTTCCTCAAAGAGCAAAACTAATTGGTTGAACGTCATTGCCCTTTTACAAATCTTTGAATGATTACCTTAAACATTTCTATGTAACCTGCTATAATGTCTTTAATAATAACTTTTAACATACTCCTTATACAAATGTGAAATCAACTGGCTTTTAGTTTCCTGTTTCCCTCCCTTTTTGATTGAAGAGTGATATTCACAATTTTCCAATCCCACTATGGGGTCATTAATTATTCCTATCTTGTTGCACCGTCCCAGGTCTAGTACAGCCTGCTCTTAGGTTAGCTCCAGAATGTGCTGTTTCTGAAAAAAATTCTGTGAATTCCTCATCCCGGTTACCTTTTCCCATTTAAATGATCTAGTCTATATGTACATTAAATTTCCCTATCACAATATCCTTCTTACAAGCTCCATTATTTCCTTCCTTTATTGTCTACTCTACCACGTGATTATTGTATGCTGCTCCAATAAGTGACTTCTATCTTTTAGCATTTCTTATCCCCACCCAAACTGCTTCTATATCCTGTTTTCCTCAACTCATATTTATTTATTTCTATTTGTTCTGAGTTCATGTGCATGATTTTGCATATATTCAGACACAGAGCCATTCATTTTGTTTTACTAGTTGGACAGAGGCAGTTGGGGAGAAGGTTACTACTTTGAAGCTGCTAGTCAGTCAGGAACAAAGAGCATGGGGATAAGATTCTGTCCCAAAAACGTCCTGCTCTAGCTGTGGAGGAGCTAGGAGTCTGGAGATGTGAAGGAACATAGTAGTTGATGTGGGGTCAGTCTCAGGAAAAGTCTTAGAAGCTGCGGAGCCTCAGAAGAATCTGTCAGTAATAGTTCAGCGCAGCTGAGTGTGAGAGTGCAGGAAGCCTAGGGCAAAGGTAAAGAAAGTTGCAAAATTCATGGCATCTACTTTGACTTCATTTGCTCTTTGATGAAAGCAACATGGTGGCATAGTGGTTAGCACTGCTGCCTCACAGCACTAGGGACCCAGGCTTGATTCCACCCTCGGGCCACTGTCTGTGTGGAGTTTGCACGTTCTCTCTATGTCGGTTTTCTCTGGGTGCTCTAGTTTCTGTCCCCAGTCCAAAGATGTGCAGGTTAGGTGGATTGGCCATATTGAATTGTCCATAGTGTCCAGAGATGTACAGGCTAGGTGGATTAGCCATGGGAAATGTGGGTTACAAGGATAAGGAGGTGATCTGTTGAGATGCTCTTGAGGGTCAATGTGGATTTAATGGTTCTATTGCTTCTGTAAACTCCAGCCTTATCTATTGATTTACTCAGATTTGTACTCTTTATTCTTTCTGGTTATGGTCTGTGCATCATTTCTCAAACAAATACTTTTCTCTCTTGCCAAGTCACTACTCATTAATTTACCATATCCTCCCAAATTTCATCCCTTTTTCCCACTATTACATTTAAAATCCTTTTTTTTTGTTATGTGACTCACTAAAACACCAGCCCCAGCACAGTTCAGGTACAGGCCATCTCCACAGTAAAGTGCCCACTTTCTCCTACTCGTGACAATACCCCACAAACTGGATCTCACACCAACCATGCATTCATCTCTCTAATCTTATTTACCCAATGTTAATTATGAACATGACTCAGGCATTAATCCAGAAATTATTATCTCTAAGGTTATGATTATTTGGTGCCTGGAGCCTCATATAGACTATGCAGACCTCTTTATTTTCTGTCTATCTATTGGCACTGAAATTGACCATGATGACTAGATCTTCCCCCTCCCATCGTAGATCCTTTCCAGCCCACAGCAGATATACCAAACCCTGGCACCTGGTACGTAATACAATCATTTGGATTCTTGCTTTTTGCTGCAGAAAGCAGTGTCAAATCCTCCTCACTATCTGCTTCTATTAGCGCAGCATTGCTGTTTGTTCACTCCACTTGAAGAGGTTTCTGTATCATGGTGCTGTGGTCAGTTAACTCATCTAACCACCAACATTCATTCTCAACCAAACAAGGTGAAGAAACCTCCAACCTGTTTGCCTTTTGCAGATTCTAAGGCTACTAAAGTCTCGTCCTCTGGAACCCCTTACCTGCATCACTCACAATCGCACCTTCTATTCCCTCACCAATGTTCAAGTCAAAAGATCCTATCCTCAGAGGATGACTGTGTCATGGAATAATGTGCCCGGGTAACTTTTTCTTCCTGATGTGCCACAGTGTCTGCAGGTCAGATTCCAGTGGCGGTATGGTGGCTCAGTGGTTAGCACTGCTGCCTCACAGGGCTAGGGAACCGGGTTCGATTCCACCCTTGGGCGACTGTCTGTGCGGAGTTTGCACATTCTCCCCGTGTCTGCGTGGGTTTCCTCTTGGGGTGCTCTGGTTTCCTCCCACAGTCCAAAGATTGGCCATGCTAAATTGCCCATAGTGTTCAGGGATGTGTAGATTAGGTGGGTTATAGGGGGATGCTCTGTGAGTTGGTGTGGACTTGTTGGGCCGAAGGGCCTGTTTCCACACTGTAGGGATTCTATGATAATCTTTGAGCAGAAGCTGCTCACACTGTAAATACTGACTGCAGATATGTGCGCCCTGAATCACACTCGCATCCAGGAGTTTCACACTCTGCAATCACAACACATCATCAGTCCTGCCATCTTCATCAAGTCTTAATTAAGAAATTAATTACATGATTAATTATTAAACAAACGAATGTGCCTTCTTACCATCACATACCATACCAACTTAAACTTTAGAGTCTTAAACTTTACCACTTGAGAAGATGATAAATAATGAAATCACTAGTTCCCTACTTCACATAGAATCATAGAATCCCTACAGTGTGGAAACAGGCCCTTCGGCCCAACGAGTCCTTGGAGCATTCCGCCCAGACCCATCCCCCGATAACCCACCTAATCTACACACCCCGAACACTATGGGTAATTTAACATGGCCAATCCACCTAGCTTGCATATCTTTGGCCTGTGGGAGGAAACCGGAGCACCCAGAGGAAACCCATGCAGACACGGGGAGAACGTGCAAACTCCACACAGACAGTCGCCCAAGGGTGGAATCAAACCCAAGTCCCTGGCACTGTGAGGCAGCAGTGCTAACCACTGAGCCACCGTGCTGCTCACAATCTACTATAGTTTCTTAAAAAAATTATAAACTAGATAATTAGAAGTTGTCTATAAAAGTTTTATTTTATCATATTTTGAAATTTAACATAGTATCCAAGAGGAATTACTAATTGATCAACTAACTCATGACTTTCCTGTGATGTCACTGTTTGTTTTTGGCTTTCTTTTTCAATCTCCACATATTTATCATCCTGTCCACTCTTTCGTCCGTAGCTCTGTCTCTGCCTGCTCCTCACCTAACCAAAAAAAGTTATTGCCTTCCTGTCACGTCCCAGTTCATTGTTAATTTCTGAATATCTACCTAAGGGTCCTCCTTTCATCCACTCCTTTAGTTGCTGCTTACTGTCTGTCTGTCTTAGGATTTTGTCCTGCTCTCCTTCTCAAACTGCTGCTGATTGCCTGTCTCAGGAACCACTGCTTGTCTGCTCTTCCAGGCGCTGCTGACTACATATCTTGGTCTGCTCCGTTTGGCTGCTCCTCTAACGCCTCTGCA